ATCTGCTATCCATGTATGGTACCCCTTATCTGCCATCTGTGTGATCAGTTTATACTGCTTAACAATAGAGCTGGCTTTAGGCTACATGTCACTATGTTGCCCTTATTTCTAAAAACATGTTACTGTACTGCAAAGGTAGTTTTAGGAGTGGGTATGCTTACCAGCAGATCTGTGCTGCCCAGATACTTCTTCCAATAGGCCCGAATGGCCCGCTGTCCCCCTATATCCCAAACGTTAAGCTTGAAACCATGAGAGTGGACACTCTTGATATTGAATCCCTTTGAAAAGGAAGCAGAAGAGAATAGTAGGAAACTATTGCATATTCATAGCAGACTGAATTTACCATAACTCACCATTTCTAATGTGGAAGTCTGGTGAAAGAGAGACCACATACAGCCTATGCCATAGTGCAGAGTATTTGATTCTCCAGATGTTTTCAACATCAGCAGAACTTCTGAAGAGCTAATGGTTCTCTCCCTGAGTACTGCAGGGAAACTCAGAATCTTACAGGTCTTGACAAGCAGCCACTTTTGACTAGATTGACTAGACTAGGTTCATACAAGAGTGACAAACTCCACCTGTTGGCCCATGAATAGGCTTCTAGGTAATGTTACTGTCTGGTGTCTACGGCATGAACAGCTCAGAGTTTCTTTAAAGGGCAAATACACAGGAGATTATCCTGGGCTGATGCAAAGTTTTCTCTACCGCGCACTGGCATTTTGCACTGGTTGAAATTGTAATTGTTCAAGCAGAAATGTCTATTATGGGAAAATGCATTGCAGGTGTCCACACAGCAGAGGATCAAGTCAGGTATATTTCTTTCTACAGTCTATTACAGGCTCTCTGTCATTAGCCGTACTCTCTGCCAAGAGTCCAGATTGCCACTAAAGAAACAATATAGAGAATCACAATAGCCAGAAAATAAAACAAATCAATGTGAGTGGACACACTATAAAAAAAACCAACAACAACACTGAATACTGATGTACGAAGACTTCATGCAGTTAGGTTTACATCTTGTAGCTAACAGGAAAAAAAATTGAAATTAACATTGAGAACTCCAGCACAAACAGTGGGGCAAATGTCTGTCTAATCATATTCCAAGTCAGAGATCCTGAATACAGTATATATCTCTTGATGTTTATATGGGAAATTTTACAGATGAGTTGTTTTGGCTAAGGACAGTACAACACACGGACACAATCTTATACATATTTAAGCAAAAATACACTCCACAGGTTTCAGTGGAATTTGTGGTACAATTCTGTGTGTCATTCAGTTGAGTTAAATGAAACTTAATCTCAGAATAACTATGATGATTATGCAGTCTAAATGGCTTAGGTCCAAATTATACGTAATATGGAAGCTTTATTGTAGGCCAACAGCCTGTTTAGATCAGGAATAATTGTTTCCTATAGTAGCAAGTAAGAGCAGAGAAGTGGCAGAGGGTTTTACTATAAGACATGTCAAACAGCCTTTGCTTAGTTTGTTCTGGATGAATTACACTCCATCATTATACGTGACCAATGCTGGGAACTAGACAGGAAGAGTGTATCCCAATTGGTTCTGCTGGACCTCTCAGCAGTTTTAAATAAATAAATAAATAAATAAATAAATAAATAAATAAATAAATAAATAAATAAATAAATAGATAGATAAATAGATAAATAGATAAATAGATAAATAGATAAATAGATAAATAGATAAATAAATAAATAAATATCATCAAGCATGATATCTATCTGGACCCGCTGTCTAGGATGGGACTTGGAAGCACTGTTTTGCACTGGCCCCAGCCCTTTCTGATGGGGCAAATCAGTGCCTGGAGTCATTAATAGATTGGATGAGGGTGAACAAATTGAAGTTTAAGCCAGCAAGACAGCGGTGCTCCTGGTCAGCCGAAAAGCAGACCACAGAATAGGGATTGAACCTGTGCTGTGTTAGACTTCCCCTTGAAAAGTCAGGTGTGTTGCTGTGCCTCACATCCCATCATGTACCACCCACCCCTATTACAACAGCTTAATTGGTTGCCAGTTCATTTCTGGGCCATATTTAAACTGCTGCTCTTGACCTTTAAAGCCCTTTAAGGCTTAGGTCCAGGCTATCTGAAAGACCATATTCCCTTACAAGCTTCCATGTGTCTTAAGATTCTTAGGGTAATGGCTTCTGTTCACAAGCACATTTGGTGAGGACTCCAGAGCGGCTATTTCTGTGGCTGCTCCCAGATTATGAAACTCCCTCCTGTGGGAGGTGTGGCTTCAGCTGGCAACATAAAACTTTGCTCTTCAGAGAGGCTTTTGAGGAACAGGCAAACAACTGAGATGAGGAGGTCTTTTATAATCTGATTTATAGTTTTGAAATAATGTTTTAAAATTTTGTTTACTATGTTTTTATATTTAATTGGTTTAGTTTAATTAATCGTTGACTTTAAATTTTTGTATTCTACCTTGTATCCTCACTGAGGAGGAAAGACAGAGTAAAAATCAAGTAAGCAAACACATAGACTGAAAATTAATGTGTATGTGTACGGAAAGAAGAGAGGAATTTTATTTCCTACCTTTAACACTAGTGGTGTACAATAATTCTCTCACCTCTTTCATGACAGATTGCCTTTTATGGGGAATAATGTGAAGTAATTCTAAACATGAAAGAGTGCCATTCAGTATCTGGAGAATGCTTTTGTTCAGAATACCAGAACTTTTAACTACTGCCTAGTCATCACAACAAATGCAGTGTTCCTACATTTCTTCGACCACTGCAATCCATTTCTGAATAAATAGGATTAATCTTCTAGAAGAGCACTTTTAAACAAGTTTGTCCCACAGACCCTTCCTGACTGAAATTAAGCCCAGAACTACAAGTCCCAGAGTTCCTTAATGTATACTTATATTCCCTGCATACATGTCAGCCAGCTGCTTGCACAAGAGGGAAGAAGCACAAGCAAGCAGAGAGTCATTCCAGTAAGAATGAAAGGAAGTCATCACTGCTGCTAAATGTAAGGCTACAGAAGATGTGTGAGTAAATAAATTATCCTTAATTTTGAAATATATAAGATCAACAGAGATTTAGATCACTGGAATTTCATGATAGAAAAATCCCTTTAAAATTTTGAACATTTTTAGAGCAGTAGCTCCTGTTTGCATACATTTGTTCGTAACGTGGAGTTTTAATCTTAGGGTGTGATCAGACAAGGAAGAAGGATTTTGCTGAAAAGAGTCACTTCACTGAGTATAATCTCATTTAAAGTGATCCTTCTGGGCACACTTGCAATCCAGTCCTCAGCACTCCAGCCTAGATTTAAAAAAAAAAAAAGTAGACCTGCTGCTGAAACAAAAAATTCTAGATGGTTTGGTTCACAAGGTCATACATGCCATGTAATCACTAGAAAACAGATTGAACTGGATGATGTCACAAGTGGTCCAAAATGTGAGCTAGATCACCACCTGATCACACTAGACCAGGGGTCTCAAACATGTGGCCCGGGGGCCATTTGTTGCCCACCGGACAATAGTTTGCGGCCCCTGCGTTGCCTGCCCCCCCGAAGCCCCCACGCGTCCACTGCTGTCAAGAGTAAAAAAAAAAGCCTTGCCTCGCTCGATGACTCTCTCCCAAGACAGCGCCACTTGCACCTGCCATCCAGAACTGCAGCCTGCCAGCCAGCCGGCCTGTCTGCCGGCTAAGGAAACTCCTGGGTGGCTTCCTCGGGCTCTTGCTCCGCTTGGCAGAGAATCGGATGCGGCCCATCTTCACCCAGCCTCTGCCTCCAGAGGCCCCCAGGTAAATTGAGTTTGAGACCCCTGCACTAGACTTTCCAAACTGAACTACAAATTACATGCCTAGCAGTGTAATAAATCCCCCTGCCAGCTGCTGCACCTTGACAAAGTTCCTCAGAATGGAATGGTGGCATGATGGGTGTGTGGTGCTTAGGCTTTTTTTTTTTTTGCTCCTGCCACACTGCAAACAGACATGAGCTTCCACATAACGTGTTTTGCCCCTCAGATAAGCAAAATTCTAAGGAACCATAACAATACCGCACACTGGAAAAATTACCTCTTTTAACTTAAGCTCCCAGAAATCCCCAATCGCCATGGCCATGGTTCGAGGATTCTGATAGTTGGAAGCCAAATAAATACCATTGCAAAGTCCTGCCAGTGCCCCCACATCTCTGCTGTATCAATATCCTGCCTATAGGCTTGCCACAAAAGCTACAGCCACTGGAGAATTATGGCCCTGCAATGGTCAAACCTCTCCTGTAGCCACATCTCAGTCCTTCAGGGTGAGGATGAGAGGAACAGATGCAGTAGAAACAAAAACTAACAGACTAAGAAGTTTATGAGATCATGAGGTTTTATGGATTAAAACCCACTTAATTAGCTACATGAAACGTTATCCAAGATCTCAGGTGTATATATGTATAGTATGCATGGTTGTTCTTGGGGTGGATGGGATGTTAGAAAGTGACATCGGGGGAGGGGGGGAATAAATGCAGAAATAAGATCTTCTATGATCTGTGCAAGCTTGTTTTAGCCTTGAAGACAACACACAACTTTTTTGTTGGTTCTTGTGGCAACAAACTAATTTATTTATTTTATTTTATTTAACTTATATGCCTCCTTCACTTTGCTCAAGCAACAAACTAATATGGCTTATTGCTTATCCTTTGGAAAAAGCTGTAGCAAGAAGCTGGTTAGGATCCTCTTTGCCAGTCTGATTCTTTAAGACTGTATGTAATGACTGGTCCAATTCATGTTTATTGTGTGTCTCACCCTTACCACTTTCAGCTGACCTTGCCTGTCAAAGGGCTTACCTGTGTAGGCGTGATGGTGCTGACTTCCTCCGAGGCCAGTTGCTTGAGCAAAGTGGTCTTCCCAGCATTGTCCAGCCCAAGCAGAACAATTCGCAGTTCCTGCTCTTCAGAGCCTTTGAGCTTTTGAATGACTGAGAGAAGTCCCTGTGTGGTGCGGAAAGACAGGTCAAATAATTGGGGGCTCTTATTCTTGTTGAGGATCCAGATCATGAAAAAGTAACAAGGCTAAGCTTAGTGTCTGTGTCTGCTCAGATGTGTTTACTGTAGACATGGACCGACCCTTACAGACCACCTCCAACAGACAGCAACATATTTGTTGGGCTTTTTCTGTACATGATGATTTGTCCCCACCTCTACCTCCAACTCTGATAAAAAAACAGGAGTGTCTTTAGAGGCTCCACGATTAACATGAAACGTTTCACCTTTAATTCTGTCTTTTTGTGACTACACATATTCCAGTTGTGTTTCTTTCCCCCCTGGAGGAATGATTCTACTTGCCTACCTCCTGGCACCATGGTTCTCCTCTGCTGTCATTTGGTTATTAATCTCTCTATTTGTTGAGATGTGGGGGTTGTTGCCCACACACAGGAGATGCCACCAGGCTCAGGAGAGTCCCAAGGGGGTTGCAAAAGCACAACAAATATTTGGGAGGGAAAACCTAAGAGGAAAGGGAAACACACAAACACACCCAAGGCTAATGAGGCCTGAAGTTGCTTGTTGTTGGTAGATGCTGTCAAATAACTTCTGCCTTATGACAGTCTTAAGAATTAATGACCTCCCACGAGAGCCGGCTGACTGTGGTGGGGGGATCCGATGGGAGAGGGAAGGAATGGGAGTATCAGGAATGAGGGCACGGTTGACTGGCCAATTAGAGCGGTGAACAGGAGCAATCCACCCTGCGACCTGCTGTTGTAGGACCCCTTGTTGCAGATACTCCGTTGGACCCTGTCATTTTTTGTCTTTGAAACCGGTGCTGGGGAAACCAGTTTGGCAGCCCATCCTGCTGCTCTGTGAATAAGACCCTCTCCCACCCCAAGCGGCTTGCTACAGGCTCCTAATTTACTTACCTTCTGCACTTCACCCATGGTCAGGCCGTCTACATACTCTGGAGAACCAGGCACAGAAGCTGCCTGGGCCAGTGGTAGCTAGGTCCCTGCTGCGTGACTGACATGCCAGGCTCCAGCAGAGAAAAGGAAGAGGATTACAACCCCAGAATTAGCTTGTGTTTCTCTATTTACCCAGGGTGTTCAGTAATACCCTAGATAAATCTCCCCTGCCAGCTGTCGCCCTGGTCTGACCCAATCTAGTCCTCCCTGATGAAGCCACAGGAGAGGGATGCCGTGTCTGCCCAACTCAAGGGAGGCATATACCTGGTTTGGCACCTCTCGCCTTGCATACCTGAAGTGGAAATTGTTTCCATCTGGGTGATATGATAGAGGCTGGTGTGGCCTTTCCTTTTAAATAAAGTATGTGGGAGGAGTTGTGGGCACAGAAGGAAGCATTGTGAGTAGAATCTACATCCAGCAATCATGCATGCTTTTTTTTGCAGGTGCTCTTTTCTTCTCTGATGGCTTCACATCCCAGCAGTCCTGCTTGGAGAAGCAACTCTTCTTGATGTTTTGTAATACTAATTAAGGCTATTTGAAGGTGATACTGGGTGGCCTTGCTGGGAAGGTTTGTCTTTTGCCTACCGAGGGGCTCTGGAGCTCCTTGGAAAAAAATGGGCCCTTAATTTCTTCTCATTCAGGAGGATGAATAAACTGTCAAGCTTTGCATGTCCAGTCACTCTCTCGGCATATCCGAGTTTGTGTCACTTTAAGAAATGTTACTTGGTTAACATCTATTTTGCCAAATTTATTGGGTGTGGTGAGTTTATAAGCCTCATTTTGCATGCTGAACTTCTATATCCTAACCTAATCGAAACATTACAGAACAAATGTGGAATCTGGAATCCTACTGCTCAGTCAGATACAGTACAATGGTGTGAAGAAACCAAGATGCATAGTAAGGCAGCCAAATTTGCAAATGATACCATGTTATTTGGGGTGGTGAAAATTCATGCTGACCGTGGAGAATTCCAGGAGCAGCTCTTCACACTTGCTAGTACCTAACCTTTGTATGAGCCAGTATATTAACTGATGGGTTCTGAATCATCTGTGGCTATCCAGGAAACAGATCTTGTATTTGTACTGTACTCATTATGTCAATGAAATCACCAACTCAACAGGCAACATTGGGGGTGAGGGGAGGCAAATCTCACGCTAGGGATGACTGGGAAAGGGTATTGTTGTTATGTGCTGTCAAGTCACCCCCCCCACACACACACCTATGGCAACCGATGAAACAGTGACCTCCAACATGCCCTCTTCAGCTCCTGCAATTGGGAGAGAGCCTGAAAATAAAATGCCTGCTCTCAGAATGGCTTTATATAACTTTGTAGTGTAGCCTTATTAGGAAAAATGTTCTGGCTGCTGCATCTCAGGATATTTTATAGCTCAGAATGGTGCAAAGTGGGGGTTGGAGACAGAGAGAGAGAATGAGAAAGAAAGAGATCCACCCACACACAGAAGCAACCAAATGAGTAAGTACAGTAGCTGGAATAGTTTCTATACCACAAAATCTCTGATGTTGACTCACTTTAGTTTGGCTGTCACCAAAAAGAAAAAGAAAAAGAAAAGAAAAGAAAAGAAAGGAAAGGAAAGGAACGAACGAACGAACGAACGAACGAACGAACGAACGAACGAACAAATGAACAAACAAACAAACAAACAAACAAACGTGATGGTGACTTGTGAAATGACACGATTTTAAAAAGATTTAAATCTCCCCATCCCCACCCCAAGGAACAAAAGCCGTGTCTGGAACTTCTCAAGGTGCATAATACTCAAGGCTAGCCAGGTTTTTTTGATATCTGGGAAGAAAAACCCAGAAGTATCTTTCCCTCTTCTGGGATGTGGAGAAAAAGTACTATAGTACTGACTAAAATAATGAACAGTTGCCGGAATCCTATTGGTTCATTCTGTCAGTGTAAATGCAATGGCATACATTGCAGCACCAAATTGTTGCTAGTAAACAAGTCTTCTTTGCATAACAGTAATCTGATTTAGTGTGTGACAACAGTTATAAGTGGCAACCGGTTAACTAGGGGCAACTCACTGCTGCAATTTGTACCTTTGTGCTTATGCCAATGTAACAAACCAATAGGATTTTGGGCAGCTTGTAGCCATTTCATGACATGTACAGTCTGCTTCTTAGGGCAGCTCTTTCACTCCACCTAACAGTAGTCTGCTTTGCTATCAAAATAAGAATGGAAACTACCCGATAAAGACACAGTACTGAAAACCAGAATGTGGCTTTCAAAGATTGTAAATGGTTCTAGTACAAGAAGTCCAAGAAGTTTTTTTCCTTCCTTTCCTGCCTGGTACCCAAAAAGGAGCTATAAGATAGTTTTCAGGGGAGAAGACACACACAGAGAGAAAGTTACACTCTGTTATGTACAGGCTTTTTAGAAGCAGCAGCACATATTTTAAATTTAGGCATAAAATGTTATATGTAGTCTAAACCATCTAAGTGAAGATATAGCACTGTTTTCTGTAATAACAGGAATTAGTAATAGTTCCTATCTCATTCTCAATATGCTGGGTTGGCCACATGTTGAGTGAAAGTTGAGTGAGTCCCTGTGCAAATGCTAAGTATGCAATGCATTACATTTAAAAGCTTTAAAATGATATGGCTAAAAGCAGCAGATTATTTCTTCCATCTCCATCACAAATCCCTGACACCAAAACACAGAAGGCTGCCTGGATCTTCTGTAGGAAATGGATGACCACTGCACATTTACTCCATTAAAAACTCCAGTCATACCACTGAAAGATCCTCCGTCTGCATGGATGCCTAATGCTATTCCATTTGTTGGGCTTTGGCTCCTGCTAAGGCTGCATTTTTTCTTTGGATGTGATGAATATGCATTACTCATACACAGATGACTCATTGATGTGAATACATTCTGCAAAGCTTGAAGCTGGCTGTGGACACCTAATCACTGGCTGTATCTGGCCTCCCAAAGTTCTTGCATGCCCTCCCCCGAAATGTGCAAACTGTTCATCCCCTTGAAGCTCAAATCTAATTTAGTGCAGCAGGACACGGCCGTGGGCAGGGCTCAAAATTAATTACTGGCAGTATTCCCACTGGCTGTTGTATTCTTAATGGGTGGAGTTTATTCTCACTGTAATGATGGATATTCACAGGAGACAGATTTTATTTTATTTCACATTTCACTTGGCCTATAGTGGCACAGGAAAAAAAAAGAGGAAGGAGAGGCACAGCGACTAGAGTGCACAAAAGGAGGGATACAAAGCGCAGCCCAGAAGCTTTTTTCTTAACCACTGCAAGCCTCAACCAGACGGTTTGTGATTTCTGAGCATCTCGTAGACATGGCTCAAGTGTTTTCAAGCTTTCTTGTGCAACAGGTAGAAATAGCTGTAGCAAAACCTGTTAATCAGGTTCTACCCACTGGGATTAAAAAGGACCCCATTTTCAAAAGCCACCAAGAATCTTGTGGTAACTTAGAGACTAACATGTTTTATCTGGCATAAGCATTCACAGGCTGCAAGTGCACAAATAGATGGAAATCCGTCTTCATTTGGATGGAAGCAGTCCAAATTCTGGGTCACATATGGCATGAGAAAGAAGTCACCACCTGCCCTGGGCCTTGGACTACTTCCCTTGATGATAAGCCTTCCACATGCGAACTGTGCCATCCAGCGAGACTGACACATACTGCAGGGAGACAAAGAGGAGCAACCAAGAGTCTCTGGCTTTTACACCCTGCACAGAGCTTTCATTAGAGATTAGACATGTTTTGTGTAAGCACGCTGATTACACATTGTTCCCACTCCCTTCTGTCAGACTACCAGCCAACTCCACAGCAAAAGGGAAGGCATGGAACTTACTACATGTGCTTTAGTACAGGCCTAGTATTGGGGCAATAGTGCATCTCCCTTGAATGTGAGTTGGTTTGACTGAATATCTGCAGAGCATATGTTCATCCTGGCTTTGTGGGGTGAGCCGGGTTAAATCCAACTCTTAGTCCAAATTCAAGCAGATCCATTAAAGCAGTGGGACTTAACCAAAGAGTTGACTTAACAAATCCCATTTAGTTGTGCTTATGTTGAATGTATTTAAACTCTTTATAGTTTTTCTCAATTGCTTTAAAGCAGTTTGACTGACTGTACCTCACCCTGATATCTTTGTCTAAAGGATTGGAAAAATAAAATAAAATAAATGAGCCTTGCTCTAAAGCAATCAACCAAGAACACACTTTGCGGTATATTCTTTAGACTGTTTGGACATTAGGAAATCAGCCTGGCCAAAAGGCTGTTCACATACCTGGAAGCAATGTTATTGGTCAAGGGATTCCCTCCCCCCCATTACTAGAAGCAATCTTTATTATTGTAATATATGCTTGGCAAGGCTGAGTCCCTATGCAAATGCTAAGCAAAATCTTTCGGAAGCATATTTTTGTTTTCAGCCATCGCTGATATATTTTTACAGTTTTTCATGGTCAGCTCCCTTTGAAATCACACACAAAAAATCTTCTGTGATAGTACAGAAGCTTCGTGGATTCCAGGGCATGTAGGGTGGGGACTACTTATTCCTGCTCCATGGAGGATGGACAAAATGTTTGAGCCAGGTATTGCCTGATGAGATACAGGTAGCACGCTTCCCTCTGTAGAATGCAACTTGCTACCAGCTGTGGTTAGTGCAATCAGGAAGATTCAGGAAAATAAGTAAATAAAGTTATCTGTTCAGTATGCCTTCTTTTTATGCTAAGGTAGGCGATTACATTAATTTGTCTGCTTCCTTTTCTGCTTCTGCATATTTTTTCATGCTGTGATGTTTCTTGATTGTACCCTGAAGACACGATGGCTAAGTAACTGTAGGAGATGGGGGGGATCCCCATTATACTGACACTATACAAAATACACCATTGCCAAGAAGTTATGCCAACACAACAGCTCAGATGTGCCAGCAGAGGTACTTTCTTGGTGTATCTGCTCTGCTGGTGAAGACACATCAGTGGAATAGTGGTGCCCTGATTTGCTTACAAGATAAAATAGGATATTAAAAAATGAATACCTAGAGTACCATGCATGCATATATAGCATAAACACACACCAATTGAATTGTGAGATAATGGACAGCTTGATGCCACATGCAGGAATAGCACAGTATGGGGGGCGATCCTAGTCCCGTGCCACTCTAGTCACTGAAGTGGGCATAGCTGCACAACCCAGCAGAGTAAACATTACATCATAAAAATGTTAAAAGGGTGGCATTACATCAGAAATACAGCTGACCCCGAGTAAGTTGTTGATAGATACACTCTGGGCACTTCGGCTAAGTGGTTTGAATATCTATCAACAGCATATCCATTGATTTGCACTTATTCAATCAATGGCTTACAGTAGGGGGGCAGTTGTGGTTCTCTAGATGCTTTTGGACTACGTCTCTCATCATCTTGCAAAACTGGCTGGGCAGGGTAGGCCAAATGTGTATTGTATACTGACAACATCCAGAGGGCCACAGTTGTCTACCCTTGAGTTGGGAATTGGCAACCTGAAGCTCTCAGCTTTCCTGAGCTGATCACCAACAGGGTGGATCCCAGCCCCCTCGTACCTGCTCCAATTCTGGTATATGGATGAGATCTTTGATGGAGTCTTGATGACCTGTGTAGCTCTGCACCTGCATCCCCAAGTTTGGGTCATAAACTCTGAAGGAGAAAACGGCAGAACCGCGGGCACGTTCAGAGAAGAGCTGTCTTCTTTGCCACCCCGCAAGTTATCATTGCCACCTGCATTATCCATACTTACCTGATTGTGTCATAGACCCCTGCAATGATGCAGCCATTGACCTTGTCAATGCACAGGCAAGTGATCCCTCTGGGGGCTCTCAAATCTTGGACACAGCATTGACCATCTTCACTCTGTATGAACCATACATATAAAGGGCGTCTACCAATCATGTCTCAATCGAGGAAGACTATTCAGATGTCTCTGCCCAGGCAGGATAGCTCAGCCTTCAAACGTGTTTTTGAAACATCTGTTCTGGCCATGGATTTTCACCTATACTCTTCAATTGTCACATATTTTACCCTCCTGCTAGCTAAATGAATGAATGAATGAATAAATGAATAAATGAATAAATAAATAAATAAATAATATATGCAACATATTCAAGGTGGGGTGAAATCATTACCAAATGAAGCACTTACCCAGAGTCGAATCGAGCCATCTTCAGCACCACTAACCCACCTGTCCTCAAGTGGGTGCCAGGCCAAGGCGACCACAGTGGCTCTGTGCCCACAGAGTTCAGCCAGGAGTACCAGATCAGCCGAGAGAGGGTTGAAAGCACAGATGAAAACCCCACCAGTGCTAGAAGAGAAGGCAAATTCCCTCCTGTCAGGACCAGGAGGGTCTGAGCTGTGGGTGGAAGAATGACCAAAAAAACAAAACAAAACACTAGGCAACATCAAATTGTCCATGCCAGGCCCAAAGCTAGGCACAGGCTTCCAGTTTGGGGTGGGGGTGGGTCTGTTTCTAGAACAGAGCTTGGAAGCATTACTTTTTGCATGGCAACTCCCATCATCCTCCAGCCTGCACAAACAGTGGCTGTGCTGGTTGAGGGAACTTTGAGGATTGTCCCAAAAGGTAGCTTTTCCAAGTTCTCCTTGCTGTGAGGAGGGAGACATAGCACTGCGTTCTCCTTTATCCCAAATGGAACCCTCTGAGGGCACACCCAGTGTTTCTGAGAGCCTCCCACAGCAGCCCCCACTTTCTCAACAATACAACCAGACAGACTAACCCACCTTTTGGGGGAGTAAGCCATATCCAAGATGGGACCATAACAATCAGGCAGACTGGAAAATGCATTTTGCAAGGAGTGGTTTTGTAGATCCCAAAGACACAGCCTTCCATCCCATCCCCCACTGAGCTACAACAAAACACAGCAAGGTTAGGCCCTAACCTCCGAGTGCGCTCCCCCCCCCGCCCCCGTAGGCACTTCCTTTTTTCTCCCCTCTGGTGCTCTTGCCCATCCACAATGTATATATTAATATATGCAAATAGCTCCCTTCTGGTGCCCTTGCCCATCCACAACCCCTCTGTTTACAGGACAACCTGTCTCTAGCAGCTCTTCCTCCACTCAAAGGCCTGCCCGCCCAATTCCTTCTGCCCACCAGCAACCTCATACTCTTGGGGTGGCCCTGCTTCCTGCTCTGAAGAGGATACTTCTCTAGTTGAAGGGCTCTCTAGGCTGGATTCAGTGTAAAGCTGCAAAAACTCAAGAAAGGAATGCAGCAATGGCCTCAAGGGGAGCACCCAGCTAGCGGACTGAGTGGGCCCACAGGTCACTCGGCCACACTCTTCCCTGTTTTGAGATATATATGATGTCCCTTTAAGTTACAGCAATTATTTCTGAATTTGCCTCTCTAGGTCTGTGAGGGGGATGCTCCAGGAGTCCCCCAATGGGCTGACAAACTCTGGCTGCTAGGCACCAAGAGCCTGTGGAGAGGGAGAGGGAGGCTCCAGGTAGGGGACAGGATGGAGGGGCTGAAGAGTGAGGTGAGGGCCAGGCCCAGTGGGTGGAAGCCTGGCATAAGTTAGGAGGAGGAAGAGGGGGAGGCTTTCTCTCCCTAGTCTACAGGATCTGAGGGAGAGGAGTAGGGAGATGTGAAGGAAGAACTGGAGCCAGTCTTTTGCACCCTGAGGGAGGAGGAGGAAATTCCTAGGATGGGGGGTCTGACTCCAAGCTGAAGTGGCCAAAGGACAAGGGTGCACGAGCAGCAGGCCAGTCTTTAGTCTACCATTGATTCTGGGCCACTTCACAGACCCTGTGAAGACCATGCTGAATGGAGCAGCAACTGGCCCTCACCTGACCTGACAGAAGGAGAACCTGAGGCGACAGCAGCGGGGACTTGGGGGACCAGAGCACCAGGTGACCAGCTGGAAATTCAAGCCCTCCCTGAAGGGAATTTGCTGGCTTGGGGCTGTTTGGAAGACCCAGCACCAGACTGTGGGGAGACCAAACTCACTGAGCAGAACTTGGGTTCAAGCAAAGACTAGACTTGGCAGGGGGCTAGGGAAGCTACCCTGTGAACTGGCTGGACAGATGATGGCCAGCACCCAACTTTTTCTTGTAGCCTCTTCCCCTACATTAATAAAATCTAATTTCAGTAGCTCTGGGAAACTTGACAACATGGAAACCATGACTGAGAAGGGCCTCCTTGCCACCTCCACCCTGGGTGGGGATGGCAGCACTCACAATGTATATATTAATATATGCAAATAGATGCCATCTTTTCTCCTCATTTGTGGTGACACATACATTGCTACCCTATACTCTCTGTCTCAAGCCCATTCTCTTGTTCACGTACCAGGTAGTGCAAGGAGGTGCCGGTGTCATCTCCTGCCAAGGCGAGTGCTGTCACCATACCTGTATGACCGCACAGCACTGTTCTACAGGTGAAACCTATTTAAGATAATACTGGCATGAGACGCAGTAAAAGGATGGAAATGGGAGCAGAGAGGGGCACAGTGCTTCCAAACACCCAGAAGTCTTCTGCAGGATGACCCTGAAATAATTTTATCCTAGCATATCAGGACTGGGGAACTTATGACCCTCCAGATGTTTTGGACTTTCTCCCAGATGTCTTGGCCAGCTTGGTCAGTAGTAAGGAATTATAGACATTGTAGTCCAAACACGTGGAGACCTTCAGTAGAATGTGCTCAGCTTTGCTATCCTGTTTTCTTCTACTTTGCTATCCTGTTTTCTTCTACTTTGACAAAAGAAGGGAAGTACCAGTATGAAGGGCAGAAGACAGAGTCTCAAAGATACATATAGAGAAACATGTCGCAAAATGCAGTTTGGTTGCAAAGCCTGTTAAAAGCAGAAATGTGACTGATTAAAGGAATATAAATGCTGTCTTCCTTTTCAAGAAAAATAACAAAAAGAGTGGGGAAACATTGTAAAACCAATAAACAAGCATTTCCCCGTAGAGCTGTTTTACTCTTCGGTAGACAACATTCTGTTCTCTATTACGTTCTGCTGGTTCACTTGTTCACGGAGCACATGTGGTAACTTGGATTGTCAGCAGCTGCTGGGGTCTGTAGAGAGCTGCCCCATGTCGTGAAGCACCGAACTGCAGGTGGCATCTTCTCAGCAAAATGCCTTCAGGCCCTGCCTAGATCCTAGTCTCCCTAGAATAGTCAGTGGATCCTCCTAAGCAAGGAGCATAAGAGAGATTCTTCTTCCCTTGCTTGCTCGATGAGCAATAAATCTTTCTGAGCTCTCATATGGTTTGCAATCCTGGGCTATTCCTTCTGCAGCCTCTTGGCTTGTTCTTTGTTCCTGACTTGTTCTTCCACCCGAGTTCCTATCTTGCTCCTTATTCCTGTTTCCTTGTGTCTTTTAGCTTGACTTTGCTTATTGGTCCTCACTAGTGTTTCGTCCCATGGCTTCTGATGCAGTTCAGGTTCCTGTCCTCTCAGCCTTGACAAGGATGCAATGTTGTCCCTTTCAGGGCTTGGGGATACGTAAAATCTTCTCAACCAGGTAGTTCTCTCCATCTAAACAGGCCTGAAGAATAATTCCTTTGAAATGTGTCAGACTATTAAATAGTTATTTCTGAGCATCTTTGAGAGTCTATTACTACTCATCACCACCCATCATCCCTATCCCATTCTAGGACACGTTCTTCACCTTCCACACAACCACTTGAAAGGTCCTGGGCCTTCTTGTCTCCGATGCAGGCTGATGTCAGCACTTTAGAGCCTCCATTTGGCACAGGCAAGCATTGCTGCAGCAGAGGAGGGGGGGGGAATAATAAGATGGGCAGGCAGCCACCTGAATCTCTTTCTCCAATAAGCCCACCAATCTGCAGGTGTCCCCATGGTATGTCTGTGCCAACCTTCCCCAATTAGTGCCCTCTACATGTGTTTTACTGCAACTCTCATCATCCCAAACCAGTTCAGCCATTCCGTGTGGAGATTATAAGGTTGCCATCCAGCAGACCTTTAGGACAATCAGTTATGGAAGATTAGCTTATGCAACAAATGTTGAAGTAAAATCATTTCACTAGTTCCCTCTGAGCCAAAGAACGAAGGGAAATTCAGAGGTTAGGGCTCTGAGAAGTTTTCACAGCAAAGAACTGGAGTGTGCAGGAAGAACAGATTTGAAGCCATCATGACCACAACACTCTTCTGCAATTCGGCTCTGCCTAAGATAAGACTGTGCTAACAGTATTTCTATTCTAGATGGCTGGCATATTTTATGACTACCTTTAGACCTGTGCTGTCTTCTAGGAGAAATATTATCCACATCTTTCTTTTCTTCTCTCTCTGTTATTATTAACCTTTTATTAATATTTCATCAAACCATATATCAATTATGTTGATGTATAAAACTGAATCACAAATACTGTAATTAAAATTAATGGTGCAACATTCAGTCAACAGTACAATAAAAATAGTTGTTTTCCAGCCAATAAGTTGCCCAGGTTCTAAAGTCTATTTGGACATATTTTGATTTGAATAAGGTATGAGTGTAGTTTTGTAGTTCTCAAAACATGTTCTTCCAATACATACTGTAACAAATCAGTCACTTGAACAGAAAGACTGCTGAATATGATTCACAAATATAAGTGGGTTTTATGCTTCAGTAAACATATCTCTTCTCCTTTTGCCACTTTGAGTTTATGTCAGTTTTTCTACCAGTGCAGTCCATAATCTTTTCAACTGTGTTCTTCAGTACAGTATAACTCTTTGCCATTTCCCCCTGCATCTGGAAATCTCCTTTTTGGCTACCAGTACCATGACATCAATGTTATCAGTATCAACAATTATTTAGTCAAAATCCTGTTGCACAAGTTTCAGCTGAGCAAGGTTGATGATATCACCAGCAGGATGACATTTCCAGTAATTAAGATTGTTGTCTGACCTGTGAGTAATCAATTTCATTGCTTGGAAGATGTAAGAGTCATGGGAGGGAAGGAAGAAATCTTCAATTGTAAAAACAATTCTCCCTGCTATTAAAATAATCCACTGACAAAGATTCTGGGTAACTGAAGACCTCCTCCTTCTGACCTGTGGCTCCCCCATAATGAAATGGATTACTTGTGAGTTGGACAAAGGGGAAAGAAGGAGGAAGTCTGTTATTATCAAAAATCTCCCCCGGTGGTGACCATCATTCTGCAGATGGAACTTACTCAACAGAATCGTGGCCTTTGTGCAGCATTAAAAGAAGCAAGGAGGCACAAGGAGTTATACTCTGGACAGTTATTTAATACCAGTCATTACCTGATTTCAAAATTGAGTAATTATTGGAGCATTTATACCATATGTGCTTAAGTGAACCCAGCTGCCTGCATTCCCTCCAACATATACTGTAGGAGGAATGCTTCAGTCTATTAAATTTCATTAGGTATAAATGCCAAATTGTCTTGGAAACATTTCCCCTCGCTGAGACTACCATGCTTCAAATGGTACTGAAGTACAATTTTTATTCCTATAACCATTTGACAGAGTGACTTAAAAGTCTTCTTCCCAAGTTATTTTAGAGCCTGGAGTACCTCACCACTGCTCTTGAATAATCCACTAGTAAATCATTGTTCCTTGACCCTTGTCACCGTCAAACACTGATAAACAGAGGTTTTTAAATTTTGTGAGTGATCTGGATGGACTATGTTTTTGGTAGAAGAATTAGAACTTGTGCCATCTGGAGCCAGTTAATTTTCTTCCCTTTAAGCGTTTTCTGCAGTTTCCATAGCCATTGCTTTACTACCACAGAATACGTCACTGATTTGGAAAATCCTGCATTCTCTCCAAAATATAGCTCATTTTTTCTATTCTAGAGAATAAAGGGATGGATAATCCATGAAAGGGCAAATAGGAGAGGAATTTGGGTTGAGATTGTTTCTTTATGGATGTCAAATTTGAACTGTGTCCTTTTAAAAACCAATTGGGTAATTTTTTAAAATGTTTCTTTTAATTATACTGTATAGTGTTAGAGGATAATGAAACATTACTAAACCAGGAGACACTTTTTCTTTATCAAGTGGATTGTCTATCTAAATTGAAACATGGTGTAGTATGACTTTAGGTTTGGGGTTGCCAGCTCCTATTTGGTTGCAATGTTTTTGAAACACATATTCTTTGTCCCGTTGTGAATTGTTCCAATTTTGTTTGCCATTTCGTGCTCACCTCTTTTTGTAACTGAAGATCATTAGGGATGCAAAAGGGATCGGAACTTTCCATACCACTAAGACAAGTTAGCAGGCTGCTGTGCTTATCACACCACAGTTCAGGAGCTGGCTATTCCTTTTCTAGTTGCTCTTCAGTCCAATTAAGTGCTAGACCGCTCTGTCTGGCTGATGGAGTCTTTTGTCTTAGAAGGAAAAAGTCACCCTCCCTTTCAAGATCACCTACAAGCATGTGATTGCTGCCTTGCTTCTTCTAACTATGGTAAGGAGGCCGAGTTAGGTACTGTAATTGTTCTCACCTGGGAAGGAGGGTCAACATCTGGAGTGAAGTTCTCAAACTCCCAGAGATAAATGTTCCCATCACTTGCTGACACCACCAGAATATCCAGCTGTTCAGCAAACAAGGCCCTGCCAAAGGCCCAGAGCTTTCGTTACCAAGACAGCACAACTTCTTTGCTCCTGCAGCTTCAATATACACAAAATTTCCCACTCTTCCCTACTGTATCCTGGATGTAACCTTGATCTTTTCTGGTCAACCTGCATTGTACAGAATTATATGGCACCTGAGCTGGCATGATAGTTTTGCTTCTCAAACCTGCCTCTGCTTCCCAGGCTTTGTGCTTGCACTGAGGTGGAATTACTGGACCTTGGAGGCAGTTCCAAGGGGAAAGTAGGCCATAAGAAGTACCAGCCTGCAAAGCAGGAGTAGGGAAGCTGTGGCTCTCCAGATGTCTGGACTCCAGCTCCCAGAAGCCCTACCCAACATGGGCAAGGATATGTGATGGTAGCAGTGCCAAACCGTTTTCAGTAGCCCAGCCCTACTGCAAAATAAACAGATCCCTAAGGAAGAAGCAGAAGTGAACCATTATCTTCAGGATTACTCAGAAAGGAGCTTCTCTGCTACAACAGCACATCCTCTCCCAGAAAGTATGTGTAGGAAGTTATTTGTTTGTTTGTTTCAATATTTATACCAGGCAAGCAGTGCAGTATTCTGGGCAGTTAAAAAGTAATTACAATAAATAATGAGAGAAATAAACAATATGCAGTAAAATGAAAGTTACCTCATGAAGTTCTTTCTTTCTTTCTGCACGTCTGTGACTGTGCTCTGGACTGTGCTGCAGCCCGTCTGGTGACTGCTAGAGGCCTTCCCCCATTTCCGAGGGGAACCGGGACGAGGCCGTTGCTCCTCCCTGAGGCCCCTCTTTACCTGTTGAGCCAAGGGGCCGTGTCGCTCCAACTGGGCTTCGCTAAGGTGGAAGGACTCCTTGCTGAAGGAAATACAGGCAAACAGTATGGGAGAGGAGTAGACCTGTTGGTGTGGAGAGAATGAGGGGTGGAGGACTGGCTGTCACTAGGGAAGATGGTGGCATGACCACAGTAAGGAGAAGACGGGAGAACAACAGGCAGGGAGGGTCTGGAAGGGCCCTGTCTTTGTCAGAACTTGGAAAAGTAGCTTTTCCAGAGAACAACTCCCAGAATTTTCCAGCAGGGGCCAGGCCAGCCAGGGATTCTGGGAGGTGTAGTCCAAAATAAAAGGTAATTTTTCCAAGCACCAGTTTTTGCATCTGAGCAGGGCAGGTTAGATGCTACAAAATGGTCTTCTGAAACACAACAAGTAATAGAAATCAAACTCCTCCTAGACCAGAAACAGACAATATGTCGGAAGTTAACTCCCCTCATTCCTCACCACTGACTATGGTGGCTGGGACTGATAGAAACTACAGTTCAAAGTTCAATAACAACTTGACAGCCACAAGTTGCCACACGTGTTATATGCTTATGCCAGGGGCAAATGCTGATCATTGTAATGGTAGTATACTCAGCTCCCTATGTGCTTCTGGAAAATGGCAAGGGCCTTTTCCATAGATGCCTGTTAAACTCCCATTTTCCACAAACCATGATTCTTCTCTATACCAATAGCAGGCTTCAGCTTTCAGATTAACATCTGCCCACTGCTGTTGATGATGTTGGGACTCCCCTCAACCCATACCTTGCAGCAGGGCCTGGCAGGTCTGTCTGGACTTTGGAGACAAATTACCTGTAGATGAAAGGTGATATATAGCTTTTTTCCCATTTCTGCACCGTTCCACTGCTGTCCCCACTGAAAAGCTGAACAGGCTCCTTCTTAGCTGGTAGAGAGACATTCAGCAGGTCAACCAGGAGCAACATAGACTTGAGGGAAGGCGGTGATTACAGGATCATTGAGGGACACAGAGAGCAAAGATCAGCCCCAAAACAGCAGGTGGCTTGGCCCAGCCATATAATAAATTCCTTCTGGCTTTGAACTACTGCACATGGCTCACCTGATAGAATTTGGTGGTTCAGATTAATCGAAGGCTGGGTTGGAATCCATGCCAAGCTAAAGTCATGGCTTGGGGGCACTTACCATAGGCTAGACATTCAAGGGTTTTTTTGCAATGCAGAATTGTCAAGCACCCCAACTCATTGTAGCGCCAGACCAGAATGTGCTGTGGCTTGGCTGTGCCTGAAAGAAGAAGGACACCCAGCGCCCCCCCCCCAATTTTTTTCTATCTTAATATTGTACTTATAATTCTTAACAATATATCTGTGAAGATTCTCAGTTATCCAGGTGTGGTTATCTGGAAGTTGAGTCATGGCAACTAAATGTCTTTCTTGTTAGTTGAAACAATTCGCTACTCCTCAAAGTAGCTTCTTCATTCTGAGGAGAGTTGGTGGGAGATCCCTGATATATCCTCCACATTGGTTTCACTTCCCCTTGGTCTGAATAGGCTTGTTAGAAGGTCAAAGGACTGGGAGTGCGGTATAATCCCACTTCTGCAGTCCTTCTCCACCTATTGTCATGGGTCGCTGCTGCTGGATCATTAACAGTGATTTTTCTGCACAGGGAAGCCATTGAAATCCACAAGCACCAGCACAGTTTCAACAAAAAAGAGGAAAGTATGAAGCTCGACAAAACTTGGCTCCCAGCTCTCAAAAATACAATGTGCAAAAGATCAACGAACTCTACCCAGCTACAAGGACCGGGGATCACTACACACAAAAGACCAGCTAATGACACCCATCAACCACAGTGACATATAATCTCTTCTCCTTAGCACAACAATACACCCACAACAATACACACTAACCACCCATCTACAGAAAAAGACAAAAGCCTATCTCACAGCCATAAATACTGCACTCCCAAGCCAACTACACCACAGCACAGGTTGCTGTCCTCTGAAGATGCCCATGGCCACAGAGACTGGCGAAACGTTAGGAAGAACAACCTTCAGAATACGGCCAAAGAGCCCGAAAAACCCACAACAACCAGTGATCTTTCTTGTTTGTGTCCCTAATCCTTCTGGGGATGGATGAGAGGGCAGCATAATAAATAGGAGACAGATAGTGTCTAAGGCCTCCACCCCTGTTGAGTGAGGGATTTTCTATATGCACATGCATGGCCTTCCTGACCTTTGTAGTCCCTCCTGAGGCATCTCAGCTGTTGAGGGGGGGTCTGTTCCTTATTCTGTGGACATTATCCCTCGCCCCCAGTCCTTTGACCTTCTAACAAGCCTATTCAGACCAGGGGAAGTGAAAGTAACATGGAGGATATATCAGGGATCTCCCACCAACTCTCCTCAGACTGGAGAAGCTGCTTGGACAAGAAATACATCCAGTTGCCATGACTCAACTTCCAGATAATTATTAGCAAACTTCTCACCATTCCCAAGTATTTTTCCAAGAAAGGCGAAGAGCATGGTCTCTAGTCTTGTTTGCATAAAACAAGAATCTCCACCCATATGGATATAAGTATGAAGCACTGATGGAAACTATTCTGAGTGTCACTATGAAATGTGGGAGAGGTTGGTGTTTCTGGAGTGCTGGCACATACTGGCTCAGCTAGATCAGCCCCAGTTTCTAAAATAATTCTTATTTTTTCAGCTTCACCTCTGCTATTCCAATTAAGTAATTAATTAAATTACATTTATATCCTGCCTTTCTTCCAAGGAGCTCAGCACAGCACACATAGTTCTATCTTCCTATATTATTCTCACAGCAAACCTATGAAGCAGGTTGAAATTAAAAATAATAACTGTCCCACCAAAATCATTGCGGTGCAGATGAATGGTAACTGGAACCCAGGTCTCTTCAGTCCTAATCAAACCCTCTGGTTCAGGGAGGCAGACCATTAAAGGTTTCAATGGTCACCAAAATCCAACATGTAGATGTTGATAAACAAATACAGTACTCCCACCACAATTCATCATTTGCCAATCTGGCTTGGAATGATGGCAAATGGAGTTCAATATCATCCAAATGGCCAGAGATTCCAAGCCCTTCTCTAACCACTTTATATTACTGTCTTTGTCTCTTCCACTGAGCTTATTACTATTTGACCTACAAAGGACGGTGAATCTGGAACCCTTGCACAGGTGACAGGGAACGATGCAGAATTTACAGATGACCTCCATACATGACAGTTTTGGACCTCAGTTTATGAGGTGCCTTTAGATACAGAAAATATCAAAAAGATCTGTTGTAGGGCCTCTTTACATCTGATATAAACAGGGCACATCTAATGCTTTGGTATGTCTTAATCCAACTCTGTTTGGAGCTAAGGTCTTATACCTAGGTAAGTGGTTCCTAGCCTTGGGTAACTTAGGTGTTCTTGGACTGCAACTCCCAGGAGCCTTCACCAACAGTTGTGTTGGCTGGAGTTTCTGGGCATTGCAGTCCAAGAACACCTGGGTTACCCAGGTTTGGGAACCACTGTTGTAGATATGAAGCGTAGCATCATTAAGGCTTTATTTAGGAGCTCACCAATTACATGTTTTGAATCTGGCAGGCTGAAAAGTTGCTGAAGCACAGGGCCATCCTTCTGATTGTCTTGGAATGTGGATATGAACTGTGAAACCTGAAAACAGATCAACACAAAAGAAGGCAGAGCAGGTAAGCATTTCGTAACAACTTCTCCTTATTCCTTTCCTAGAAAGCAGGACTGCAATATATACAAGAGCCATCTTTCCCTAGGAGGCTGATGAAGGCCAGAGGAAAAGGGAAGCTCAGAATAGATCTATGAGATGCTATTGGCACAATGAATAGCTCCCAGCAATAGAGAACATCAGAGACAATTTGGCAACACCTTTCATTCTGAAATGACTGGAAGGTCCTCTCTAAATATTTTTTGCCATGATCAGGAGACCCAGGAATACTGCACGACTGGAATCAAAAGCCCTTGAAGCATCCATCCAACAGAAATGGAAAATGTAAAAAAAGGTTGCTCAGGAGCGCCCTTCAATGGGAGAATACAAAAGCTCGAGAGGAAACTACTTGGGAAGTGCTCTCATTTAATGTCAACTGTATTTCCTGTCTGACCTTTGAGAAAGCATCTGTGTAATTTTTCATCCTAATGTGGTTGTGTATCCTCTTTTCATTGACTGTATCATCCTATCAATCAGCCAAGATGGATCTGAGCTATCTAAGGAAGGCATCTTGATACTGGAAATAGGCTTCATGGAAAAGCTCCTTCTGCAGCACAGGTCTTTTTGCAGATGCTGTTAAATAAAAGGAATCTGAGGGATTTTTGCCACCTTGAAGGCCAGCTGACTAAATATGGTAATTTCTCAAGGAGGACAAAGAGGAAAAAAAAGGCAAAGGGGAACAGGGAGCTTCCATAGGAATAGAAGAAGCTGTCTTACATGAGAACAGTCTATTTGTCTACCTGTCCCACTACTCTTTATTCAAATTGAGAGCAACTCTCCAGGATCTCAGGCAAAGATCTAGCTGTCATCTGCTACTCAATATCCTTATAACTGAAAATGCCAAGGGCTGAACCTGGAGTTTTCTGCATTTAAAATATGGGCTCTCTTATGGAGCAGTGCCCAACATAAGATGCAGAGTCCCAATTCCAAACCTCAGCTGTTGGCGCCAAGGCAGCTCATGGGTATCCAGATCTATAAACGAGTATTAGGTGAACAGGTAGCTTAGATATTTGAAAGCTTCTAGTGCTAAATCTTTCCTGGACAGACCCGCTTTGGGCTGCTGGAGACATTGAGGACTGCTTGCTAGAACATGCTAATGGAAGTCTCATACCTGCAACCCATGGGTTTACAAGGGACTCTGCCATTAGATTTTGCTTAACATGTGAACTCTGTGAGCAAGAGAATTTTGCTTACGACTGCCTTTACTAAACTGTTTTGGAGCTTTTCCCACTGCACAGCTAAGCTGCTGGCAAACAACTGTTCCTAAATATGATGATTTTCCTGGCAGTGCACATTTATATTTCCTATATGTTTGCAACCATGGAGATGAGGTGTGTGTGTGTGCGTGCGTGCGTGCATGCCCGAGTTATTGAAAATTAGGATGGAAATAGATAATAGACAGGCAAAGGCTGGCAGCACAAGCAAATTGAAAACAGCTGGGTGATCATCTTGGCCATAATTCACAAAGACAGGAATGAGAGAAAAATATAGCCTATCCCTTTGCTATGCAACATATCTTAAACAAAATGTGATGCTTATGTACTGCCCCATAGTGCTTAAAGCACTCTCTGGATGGTTTGCAATTTAATTATGCAGGCTACATATTGCCCGCTGCCAGCAACCTGGGTACTCTATTTACCAACCTCAGAAGAATGGAAGGCTGAGTAAACCTTGAGCCAGCTACCTGGGATTGAACCCATGTCACAAGAGGAGTTTTGGTTGCAGTACTGCAGTTTAACCACTCTGCCGTGAGGCTCCTTGCTAAAAGCACGTCCAGACAGGAAAAGCTGGAGCAATCTGGTTTGTGCTTTAAAAGTTCTTATTTTCAGTTTGATCTTATTTACCTCTCACTTGAGCAACCTTTTCATTCACAGCAATCTACATTTCTTCTCTAATGAGAAGGGTCCAGGCATGTAACTCCAATTTATTCCCCTTTCAGTTAATGACAATCCCCTTGCCATCCCCTTTCCTGCTTTCTCCCATGGCAATCATTCAGCAGGTTGTGAGAACTTTCCTCTCTTTTTTGTTAAATAAAGTGACATAGTGAAAAAAACAATGCATCTACCTAGCATACTACACATAATACAGGTACTGTCAATGTATCTTGCTTACCTAGAATAGGACTATTTCAGTAGCACTGTGTCAAAATGGTAGAGCAGATAAAAACAGAGGAGGGTGGCTTCTCCATTGTCCCTCTTAATGCTACAACCCACCAAATATGTCACATGGTTGTCACCACCCACAGGTCCATTTGGGTGTGAAATGACCATCTGCACAGGCAATAGAATGTGATAATCAGGAGGACTCTTAAATCGCACCAAAAACAATCCTGTAGTTTTAGCGCTGTGCTCAAAAGGAGTGGACAGTTCTAAAAAGTGGTGGGATGAACTGCTGTAATTCAAAACACATATGGATGCCATAATTTGATTCAAACCAAACAGCACCAAAAGTGATCCAAATAGCAGGCTATATTTCCCTCTGGACATGCCCTAAGATTCTTCCCTGATCTCAAAATTGCTCCGCAAAATTGCCTTCCTCTTTCCTCCCCGTGCTTGTCCACAGGGCTGCAATGTCAAAACATTGCCAATAGAGGGCTCCTTCTAATAGGAAGTCCACTCCTCTATAAGGCAGAGAGGATGAGATATGGCTGCTTGCAGATATGGGGGGGGGGAAATACCCCAATTTTACTCACTATTTCCCCAGACTGGGGCTCATAAAGGGTGGGTTGGGAGGAGCCGCTGGTGATCCAGACGATGCCTACTGATGCCACGTAGCAAAGTCCGGTAATATTTCCAATGAAGGGGCCGAGACGCTGGATCAGCTGCCCATCCTGGGACCAGATGCCAACTGTCTGGTCAAAAGAACCTGAGAGCAATCTATGGAAAAGCAAGAAATGGAAGGGGAAAAGAAATGCTTCTTCTCTCACACACTTGCACAAACAGCTCTCTCTCGCTCTCGCTCTCCTTCCACATTTGAAGTCCATTAGTAAAAGTAGTCCATACAGAGTTTGGAAAACTTATCTTTTTAGACTACAATTCCCAGAATCCCAAGTACAGCAGGAAGGGGATTCTGGAATTTATAGTCTAAAAAGGAATTTTATCAAGCTTTGATTTCGCTCATTTCTGCTGCAAAGGTTCTTTGTCCATCATTTAAGATTTAGTGATTACCTCCTTCATCCCTCACCCTGATCATATGTTCAAAGAATGCCCCCTTTCCCAACAGCTCCACCTATACCTTCACTTCTTTGTGCTGAGCATCATTCTTCCAAAACCTACTAGCTCCCTATTTATCACTCTCCCACCAAAAAAACCCCATTAAAATAAAACAGGAACTTCCTTCTGCCAGCCCCTCCCTCACTGCTGTGCAAACTTTTCAGGAAGGGAAGGAAATTGTGGCCAGCGGGGTAAGGGAGAGAAGAGAAAGGGAAATAATGCAGAAAGCCAATAAATAAATAAATAAATAAATAAAAAAGGAAGAAAGAAAGAAAAGAAAAGAAAAGAAAAGAAAAAAAAGAAAAAAGTAGAAGGGGGAAGAAAAAGGAGGGAAAACCACCTCTGTCCCCACACAGTGAGCAGCCCCAAGTTCACCCAGGAAGGTACGCTTCTGATAAGCAGGTAACCCTTTCCCTGCAGTTAATAGAAAGGAACTAAGGACTGCAAGTGGGAAGGCAACTTGTGGCCCCTCCTATCATGCCAGTAGTGGTGGGCAAATAAGCATATATATTTTTTCAGTATAAACACTGCCTGTACTACACCCTCCTTCCATATTCACAGATTTCAACAGGGGTGGGGAGCTCTGTTTGTTCATTTTATTTATATCCCAACTTTCTCCTAGGATAGGCCATGGGGCAGTCTGTTGTTGACTACAACTCCCATCGGCCTTAGCCAGGCTATCCCTAGACTTGAGAACAGTGGGAGAAAGTGTAATGCAAATAAAACCTTGGCTTGTTCTCCTGCGTCGGATACTCCTTTCAAGAAGCTCTTGTTGGTGTCTCATTGGCTGCTCTTTCAACATTCCCTCCCATTCTGTGAAAAGGTAGCTAACTAGACCAGCAAAGCAACTCCGGGGAAGAACCTAACACCACACTAAGATTCTACTTCTTGTGCCCTTCTTGGATTGAGCTGAGGCGATACCTTGTGGTTTCTTGCTGACGCACCAACAGCAGATGGGTGATGGCTGCATTGTGGGCATGTGGGATGCAGTGCTTGGCTGTCAGTTTTTTCCTGCCTGGAGTTTGGTAGGTGTCAAAGATTAGTAGCCTTCTGTCATACCTAGGAAGGGATGTGGAAGAGATGATCTTCTGCTAAAGGTAGAGATGAATTCCAGAGACTTACCTTACTATTGTCAATAGCAGACCCAGACTTTCTAAGAGCCTTGGTTGCAAAGGACAGCAGTGGCTTCCCTCTGTTTCTCCAGAAAAGGATATAACACTTCACTGCCTTTTACCATCACGCAACAGCCACATTACTGTCACCTTATCACAGACCACCCTATTTTCTTTTACGGTTGTGGAGAGCTTGTTTGTTGAAGTTCCTCGGGGTGTGTGTGTAAGGTCCAAACTAGCCATTAAAGGAAAATATATGCCCTGAGATTAATCTCTTTTCCCTTCCACAGTGCAGTTTCCTCAGAAATATAGTACCCCGGCCATCACATTGGCAAATTAAATATATGTTTACCTTCCAAAGAACCAATTGCAAAACAGACCATGTTAAAGGTAAGATGCATTGAAGCCATTTCTGCTATCACTCAGGGTCTGTTCTGGCTAACAGAATTCATTCTTCACCCTCCCAGCTTTACCCTGCTGTATATATATGGTTGTCTAGGCAGGTGATGCACGACACAATGTCCTTGTGAGTGTAGTCAGAAAAGCCATGAGCCATGTTGATCACGCGCCCAGATTCTTTTCTTTCATCCAAGGGGAAAATCATCAAGCGTCCCTTGCTGCCACAGAGAAGGAGGTGCCGAGTCAGGTTGATTGCCATGGTAAAGACAGGATGGCCTATCTAGGGAAAAAGAGAAAAAAGACTGGGCTGAGCGCCTGAAGAGTGGAAAAGAATGGGGTCTAGAGACCAAGGGAGGCAATATTGCCAGACCATAGTCTAGCTCATGCCTTGCAGGATTCTCTGGAGGGAATTGCTCAAAACTGACTGGCAGATAGCTTGGGTACAGCTAAATAAAACCCTCTCTTAAAGAATATGTGTGGCACTCCAGACTTATGAGAACCACTGGCAGGGCCAAGATGCCCATTTATGTAGGAAACCATGTGTCATTAAGGGAACAGAAGAATTAAAACGCCTGATAGGGCAAGGAATTGCAGAGCAGGAAGGGACCCACAAGGGTCATTCAGTGCAGGGAATCAACTGCGAAGGGTCTGCGCCAGATGGCCACCCAACTTCTGTCTAGTGGCCAACAGCCAGATTTCTACTTAAAGTGAAAACTATGATGTTCTAGGCACTGACACTGGTGACGTTGTTAGACCACTAAACCATCACCTACATAAGCTTGGCATGTCTCATTCCAATCCATACAACAAGAGGTGAAATCTAAAACCTACATGTTTAACTTGCGTCAGCAACCTCCATAATAAAGCTTCCTTTAAGCACAGAAGTCTGGCCTGAACATTTGACTATGATTTTTAGAACTCCTGTGCTTCTGCGGTGTCACTCCAAGCTCTGTGACGCTCAGCCTGATAAAGACCCATGGGGGATTAAAAGCTAGTTTATATTTGTGAGTTGTTACAGTGGGGTCTTGACTTAAGAACGGCTCGAGGTAAGAACATTTTGACTTAAGAACCACTCTCCTAGGAAAATAACTGACTTGACTTAAGTACTTAGATTTGAGTTAAGAACTGAAAAAAACCACGTGGGAGGCAGGGAAAGTGCAAAATGTGAACTTTCAGTTAACTGTTGGCCAGTGAAAAGGGTGCCTGTCTGCTTCCTCACTCCTCCCAGCGTGTAGAGAGTGGATTGGGAGACAGTCTTCAGACTGCTTGGTACTGCCTGGACTGTATTTTCCCTGCCTTCCCTGAACCTTTCTTGACCTAAGAAAAAAAGAAACAAAATATCCCCCTCTAGTGGTCGAAGGGGGGATAGCAGCTTCCCATTAGTTTCTATGGACGGAAAAGAGCAGATACGGATCAAATGGTTTTTAATGCATTCCTATGGGAAATGCAGATCTGACCTGAGAACTTTTTGACTTGAGAACCGCCTTCCAATACAGATTAAGTTCTCAAGTCAAGACCCCACTGTACTTTTCAAAAAAAGGTATTGTCCATCTTTGTGTTAGCTTGTGTGCAAGGATCATACAAGCTTTCCTTTTTCTTTTTTTGCAGTGTTCCAAAAATCTTCAGCTGGCTGGCGTTCAGTTCTCTACTGTGCCCTCCCAAGGGAAGAGCCAGCCTTTGTAGCCTTGAGCAAGCTGCACAGTCCCAGGATACCTCCAGAAGAAGGGGTCAATGATAAACCACTTCTGAATACCCCCTACCTAGAAAGCCCTGAAAAGCATTGCCATAAGTCAAAATTGATTTGATGTCACACAATGATGATGATGAATTCTTAAGTGTATTCCTGCTGGTCCAAAGTTCCTTGAACAAGAATCTAGCAATTCCATAAGGGCGATCAATTCCACACAATAACATACAAGCTCATTAAAATGTAATATTTTAAATATTATTATCATCCCCTGTTCCTGGGTTGTAGAGAGGTGAGCGTCTTACCAGGAGACGTTCTAGCACGGTGCCACTTGTGGACCACACCAGCACAGAGCTGTCATTGGAAGCAGAGAAGAAAAGCCGTCCCTGTGTCCAGGACACAAAGTGGGTGACCCAACCGGCATGTTCCTTGGCTTGCAGGGACACCCGCCCATTCTCCATGTCCCACCATTTGATCATGCCATCTGTCAGAAGAAAAAGAGCCACATTCCATTTGTTCGTTTGTTTGGCTGGCTAGGGGTTTGTTGCATGAAATACCTGATATCCATTATTTTTACTTCTGATTTTAGAAAGAAGTGCCCAAAGAAAGAAGTATCAATTTTAAGTGAGGTCATTTTTAGCACTAGAACACCACTCCCTGATAATTTCAAGTACCTACTCAGAGAAGCTATTTGGAACTGGGACTGTGCTGAAAATGTCTGATTAGAGGGGAAAAAAACATGGTCAGTATGGGTAATGCCTGGGCATCCAGATGTTGTCAAGCTGCACCCCCATGCTTACAAAACAGCCATGGAAATGGAAAAGAACTTGACACACTAATTCTCAGCCGAGAGAGAGAGAGAGAGAGAGAGAGAGAGAGAGAGTACTTGTGCAGACAAGACTCACCTTTGAAGCCAGTGACGCATTCGCGTCGAGCTGTATGGTAGCCAAGAGCTGTGATGGGACTACGATGATGTTCCTTCATGCGGAGATGCTCCTGCATAGCCATGGCTGCAGTCTGAACCACAGTGTAACAGAGTGTCACCAATCTGTCTGGTTTCCAAGGCTGTCAGTCTCTGCTCTTTAAAACCCACAATCATGTTCCCGTCATGCATGGGAGGTTAGCCTATTGTGAATAGGCTATAATCATGTTTTAAACATTATGTTGAGCCATTTGGTCTCTGAAGACCGGCACATGGAGTCTCCTAGTTGCCGGTTTCCCTCTGCTGCTTCTTCACAAACTCCCAGTGTCAGTCCCTTGCTTAACTAGCAAAACTTTCCTAGAAACCATGACTGTCATAGCAGAGATTCATGCTCCATAGACTAAAAGCCCAGAAGTCAACCCGGGCCTGCAGGAGGGGCAAATACAACAGACGAGAAACACAGCAGAGATGGCTGCTGCAGCTGCAACTGTGAAGTTCACAGACTAAAACCCAATAATGGCTATTTAAATGCATTCCAAGGGTTTATTCGGATGGGCCACATGTTTTCGTGGTGGCCAGTGTCTAAAAACTGCCGTGTAAACAACAATTTCCAAAGGGCTGATGATTTAATTTGCAGCAGAGCACAGAAAATTTGCTTTTCTGATAATCCGTCCCAGAATCCCCATCAGCATAGCCAAAATGTAACTTTTCTGAACTCTGTGAACTGCAAAACAAAAGTGTCTTGTTGGCATCTTAAAGACCAACAAAAGTATTATAGCGCAAAATACACTTTCTCAGCCTGGCACATTTCAAGTATTTTGGATTACAGCTCCCATCTGCGTAGTCCTTTGGTTGTGCTGGTTGGCCACAAGCTGCACCCAAAAGAACCGGAGGGTGGCATAACACTTCGTAGGCCAGAATCTGCTTCGTCAGTTACCAGCTATCTGATGAAGATGGGCTGTATCCGAAATAAGGAATCCCTCCCGCTCCCTTTGATCTATCTCCTCCTCTAACATTCTCTCCGGGCAACAATTAACCAGTTTAATACGTTAATAGCTGGTGAAGAAGCCAAGAGGGTTAGTGACTTAAGAGCTCACAGAGAGTTTTTTCTGGGCATAGCTCAGCATGCTGTGATAGTTATATCAGGGACGCGTCACAGAATAGGACAGAGGAGTCGATCCATCAGACAAAAGGACACGAAGACGGGTGGGGCCAATTATTTTTATGTCTGCAGAACAACAAAAGGCCAGCAGATGGCGCTTGTTTTGCATTGCCTGAATTTTTCTCACCCCCTGAGATATCCTCCCTGCTGTTTCCTCCGTTCAAGGATGCAGAAGCCCTGGGCTTTTTGGCAGCAGAATAACTTTTCAGAGCCAAACTGAGGGATCGACAGCTTTGCGGTACCACGCAGACATCCCATTCTGTCCTCTTCTCCTTTTCACAACCATGCACACGTCCCCGTTTCTGCTGTGTCTTCGGGCAGGAAGGGCCAACTGCTTACCCCACCACTCCCTCCCCTGTTTTCGAGGAGGCGGCTTACAATTTACTTCCCAGCTGCTCAAGAGCAGGCGGTCGTGGCTTGTCGCCCCCCGCCCGTGCAAGATCCCCGAGGCTCCCAGCCGCCCCTTCCCTACGACTTGCCCAGATCTGCAGGGCGCGCACCGCAAGCCGTGGGGCGCAGGAAAGCTCCTCCGGAGTCCCCCGTCTGTGCCGCCTGGAGAGATGAAGCTAGATTTCTCGTTTACTTCCTCCTCCTGTCGCCATGGGAATGAAAGGAGGCGAGGGCGGGAAGCAGCTAATCCCAGCGCCTCTCCCGCCTCGTCGCGCAGCAGCGTTTTCGGGTCCTGAGAAGCGAGATCGGGCCGGCAGCCGCTTCGTCTCACAGACACGAGGCTGCTTATTTCCAAAGGAGTCGCCCTGGATTCTCCCTTATGCTGACATTTCGGGGCAAGGCGCCATAAATATTTACACCAGCCCGGGCATCACTTCAAGGCATGTGCAGGATTGTCTTCCTTAAAACCCTCTGAGGTAGCTTGAATTTCGCCTGAGACCCTGGAGTGCTGCTGCTGTACAATATGTCTACTTGGAGCCGTGGCTGGACTTGACTCAGAATTGTGGAGGTTCTAACAGGAGCCTTCTGTGTTCCTGTGGTGGAAAGATCCACGCAGAACTAGTTGGAAGAGTTTTGGGAATTACTGAGTCAGAAGGGACCAATCTTGGCTCCCTGAACCCTCTCCCATAGTAGCGGGGTACAATGGGGGAACACAGAAAGGAGGGGAGATGGACTCCACCGGATGCCCATGACTCAAGCACCACCTGTGAATTTTCATATTCTGAAATAGTGGGGATATTCCTACACCTGGTTTAATACTGTTTAGATTAGGCATCCTTCAGTCCTGAGAGGTTATGATAACCTGCTGTGAATAGAGGTCTTAGAACAGCATCTAGTGTGGCTGAGAAGGCCAATTCGAGAGTGACAATCCCTTCCATATTGAAGATAAACACAATCTGTTCCCCGTCCAGCTCCCTGATTTTGCTGGTTTCCGGACTGCCTCTTTGCCTCGGCCTGCTGGACAAGGGTCTCTTCAAATTGGCAGAGGCCATGGTGCAACGCCTGCCTCCAGGCTGAACGCTTTTTTCAAGTAAATAGAAAACACCAGAAACACTATTTTGGTTTGTCTGTCTTTTATTTTTAATATGTTTACTGAGTTGGGGGCAAGAGAAAGGAGAATACTAGCCTCTCTTCCTCCTCCATCATCATAATCAGGAAGCTGAACAGCATTATGGTTATTTTGACTGCTAGGTAGGCATCCTTCAGTCTCGAGAGGTAACATGCTCTGAATAGATGTCTTGGAACAGCATCTAGTGTGGCTGAGAAAGCCAGTTTGAGAGTGACAATCCCTTCCACAATGAAGACAAATACAATCTGTCCCCTGTCTAGCTCCCTAGTTTTGCTGGTTTTGGGACTGCCTCTTTGCCTTGGCCCGCTGGATAAGGGTCTCTTCAAATTGGAAGAGGCCATGATGCAACACCTGCCTCCAGGCTGAACGCTCAGATGTCAGGGTTTCCCATCTGTTGAGGTCTATTCCTAAGGCCTTCAGATCCCACTTGCAGATATCCTTGTATCGCAGCAATGGTCTCCCTCTGGGGCTCTTTCCCTGCACTAATTCTCCATACAGGAGATCCTTTGGAATCCGACCATCAGCCATTCTCACAACATGCCCAAGCCAACATAGACATTGCTGTTTGAGTAATGTATACATGCTAAAAATTCCAGCTCGTTCTAGGACTACTCTATTTGGAACTTTGTCCTGCCAGGTGATACCAACAATGTGTTGAAGACAACGCACATGGAACATGTTAAACGTCCTCTCCTGCACAAGGGGTCCAGGACTCACTGCAGTACAGGAGTGTACCCAGGACACAGGCTCTATAGACCTGGATCTTAGTACAGTATATGCCGTCAGCTTCTTATTAAGCCATACTCTCTTGGTGAGTCTAGAGAGCATGATAGATGCTTTGCCAATGCATTTATCCAGCTCGAAATCTAGAGAGGGTTTCAGAGATGGCTGAGCCAAGGTACACAGAATCATGAACAACCCCCAGTTCTTGTGTAGAGATGGTAATAGAGGGAGGCGAGTCCATGCCCTGGCCCATGACTTGTGTTTTCATCAGGCTGATTGTTAGTCTAAAATCTTGGCAGGCCTTACTAAAACTATTCATAAATTGTTGGAGCTCTTCAGCAGAATGTGTAACAGCAGCTGCATCATTGGCGAATAGGAACTTTTGCATGCATTTCAGCTGGACTTTGGTCTTCGCTCTTAATCTAGAGAGCTTTCCATCTGATTTAGACACATTCTGTTGCAGTTCCCAAGGCCTGCTTCAGCATGACAGCAAAAAAGATCCCAAACAGAGTCAGCGCAAGGACATAGCCCTGTTTCATTCCACTTTGGATGTCGAAGGGATCTGATGTTGAGCCATCAAAAACTACAGTGCCCTTCACTTCCTCATGAAAGGACCTGATGATGTTAAAGAGTCGAGGTGGACATCCAATTTTGGGAAGTATTTTAAAAAGGCTGTCCCTGTTAACTAAATCAAAGGCTGTTGTGGGTTTTTTGGGTTCTTTGGCCGTGTTCTGAAGGTTGTTCTTCCTAGGAAGAACAACCTTCAGAACACAGCCAAAGAACCCGAAAAACCAACAACAACCATTAGATCCCGGCTGTGAAAGCCTTCATGAATACATTAAATCAAAGGCCTTTGTACTGTAAGATCTATGAAGGCCACAAAGTGTGGCTGTCATTCCCTACATTTCTCATGCAACTGTCTGAGGGAAAATAGAATTTCATGTCCAGCTTGTTTTATGGCATGTTCAGCTACTGCTGATTTTTCCAGTTGTTTTAGTCTGTTTAGTTTAGCTGAACGTGCCATAAAACAAGCTGGACATGAAATTTTATTTCAAAATACTGGACAAAACCAGCAATTATTATGTTAGACTGCACAGGGAAGCCATTGAAATCCACAAACACCAGCAGAGGTTCAACAAAAAAAGAAGAAAGTTTAAAACTCAACAAGGGTTGGCTCCCACCACTGAAAAATACAGCCTGCAAAACGTCAACGAACTCTACCCAGCTGCAAGGACCAGTGATTACTGCACACAAAAGACCAGCTAACAATACCCATCAATCACAGTGACAGATCATCTCTCCCCCTTATCACAACAATACATACACAACAAAAACATGCTGATCACCATAATCACCCAGTCACCTGAAAAGGACAAAATCTGATCCCACAGCTATAAATACTCAATTATCCAACACACTGCAACAGAGCACAGACAGCATTCTGACTCGTCTCCTCTGAAGATGCCGGCCACAGAGACTGGTGAAACGTTAGGAAGAACAACCTTCAGAACATGGCCAAAGAGCCTGAAAAGCCCACAGCAACCATCAGATCCTGGCCGTGAAAGCCTTCGAGAATACAATAATTTCTCCCCTCTCCCACAATTTTTTCCCCAGCTAGCTGCAATCATCAATGCAAGTAGCTGCCTCTCTTTCAAATAGTGATTTTTCTGAAGCTCATGCTATCTATCCAACCTAAGATGACTTGGTACATAATGGCAGTTGCAACTATCCCTTGGTGCTTGTAGTCATGAGGTCAACACCTTTTGCTTTCAGGCCATATACATACAAAGAAAGGGTAAAATTTACAGGGAGCCTGAACTACTCCTATTTCATTGATAGCTGTCATTATTATTTGTTATTAATTTTTATGGTACATGTATACCCTGCCTTTCCACTACTAGGAAGTATGTGTTGTGGCTTACAATCATAAAAACTAATAAAAACAGATTTAACCATGAAATCATTAAAATCAATAAATCTAAAGTTAAAAATAATCTCTGTATATTAAACATTATCATAAGACAGCTTAAAGGATTAAAAAAAGATAAGAACTGCTAGATACCTCAGTGGTTTAGGTGTCAGAGGTGGGGTTTTGGATTCCCCACTGTGCCTCCTTGAGGGGCTAAACTTGATGATCCATGGGGTCTTTTCTAGCTTTACACTTCTAACATTATGATAGTACAATATTATCTTCTATGTTCCTGTAAGCAGGCCTCTGTCTCTTCACAGAGTTATGGTTAACACTTGCCTACTCAGCATTGTTAGGTACAATAGAAAGGAAGCTCAGTTTTATATGAGTACTCAAAGGCTACATACATTACATATAAAATCCAGAAAGATAATTGTTTCTCTGCATAATAGAACAAAATGTTTTTAAGAATGAGGTCAAAATTGTGTTCAGTTTTCTGTGAATAACTGTGTGTTTCTTAAAAGGCTATACCTGGTGAGGGCCTTGGATATGTCAATTTTCAGGACAGAAAATAATTTTCCATTTAAAGCAAAATGCTATATTGAAATCATACCCTACAAAGCCAAGAGACTGAGAGCACAGATCCCTGCATGTTATTCAAAACATGGGTGACCTCACTGTATCTTAACTTCTACCCCATATGAACACTATAACATGCTCCCTCTAGACACTCTACTCTGCATACAGCACATCACTAGTGGTATAGAAGAACTGAAATAATACAAAGACTTTTGTAGTGATAAAATCTACCAATAGCAGAATTACAGCTCTATCCTATCCACATCATGCAATCTTTACTCCAACCAATCCATATTTGAGGAAAGGAAGTCTTGTGTTTATTGGGTTTAGTGGTGATGTGGAGATTAAATAAACCAAACCATCAATAGCAATATAAGACCTTGGATTCACTGAACAGCTCCCAACCAGTTCTTGGAGGAAATCACAGCCACTAACAAATGGGATGGATTTGCTATTTAAGTATGCTTCCAAAAAAGATAAGCCCTACATACTGCAATGTCTTATTTATACATCTGCCCTCCATTGGCTGTTAATGGGCTGCTTAAAGTTTTCCCCTGAGAAATATGCTCTTAGATAAAATGTATCCCAATGAAAACTAGTCTGACCAAAGAGGAGGAGGCAATCACAGTTTTAATCCCATAATTGTCATCTACACTGTCCATTTTGCTAAAGGCAGAAGGAGAAACTTCAGCTTTTCAGAAATTGTCAAGACTGAGGCAGAATTGCAACATCCATGAGTAATAGCTATGACAAAAAGGTCAGCAGAAAATCAAAAACTCACAGTCTGTGAAGGAGGTAAATGGAAAACTCTTAATAGCCATAACTATATGGTGATGAGAACTGCTGTATAATAGCTGGAAATATTCCAATGATGCCAT